CCTTCCTTCCTTCCTTCCTTCCTTCCTTCCTTCCTTCCTTCCTTCCTTCCTTCCTTTTTATGACAAATGAAAACTAGCCCAATTTGGTTGATGTGTGTTTGGAATTGCACGGAGCTCTTTCGTTGAAGAAAAGGCTCCGTGCAACGGAGCCTGAACGACATACGGAACAAGCTTACTGACTTTTACAGTTGTAGATTTTGGAAATAACATTTCTAGGCATTTTACATGCTTGCAAAACACACACCAACCCCCATACAAACATGCTTACCTGCTTGTAGCACCCAGTACATAGAAAGGATCTTTCATAAAATGAGAGATTTGGTTACTGTCTTCCACCTGGAAATCCTTAAGGAGAAGAGATGGGAAGTTAAAAGTAAATTAAAAAGCAACATTGTTTTGTAAAAGAGAACTTCAGCAAATAATGTCTGGGCATTTTGACAACTGGCATGTTTAACAATGGTCGTAAGTCGAGGACTAGTTGCACTCGAGTGGACAGAAGGAAGAGGAAGAAAAACTGAATTGCCTCTGTGCTCACAGACAGAAAAAGACCAGTCTCTTGCTTCTGTTTTTGTCTCCTGTGCTTGATATCCATATATAATTTTTTGCAAAAAATATATCACTGCATCTACATATCATCTTCCCTGACTCACTTCTGCCTGCTACGTAAAGTATTAAACACCTAAAACTTCTCCTGGAAAAACCAGAAACACGAATACACATCCAGCAATTGGCTTGTCCTCTTTCTTGGTCTCCGGTGATTTTTCTGAACTTCGCAAAAAAGAGAAACGATCTTTTCTCCGTTCGTTTTGAGAAGGATGAAAGGCAAGGAAACCAGCCGAAATATTTAGGATCCAGGTGAGATTAAATCCCGGCCTTCATTTTGGTGCAACGGCTTTATTGCCGCTTAAGGAAAGCCTGTGGATTTGAGTGAGCCTCCCGAGCATATAATTACCTGTATTCACAGTCTAGATCTGAAAATTCAAGGAATAAAGTTGTTGGATGTGAAAAACCCCGGGGATTAATTCTCCTAACTATCTTAAAAGCAAAATAAGACTGTTTAATTGGGATGCTATTGGGAATGTCACGCCCCAAGGACGGTTCGGCAGACAAGGAGAATGGATATTAGATTGAATACCAATAGCCCTTACACTTATATACCACTTAATAGGGTTTACAGCCCTCTCTAAGCGGTTTACAGAGTCAGCCTATTTCCCCAACAAACTAGGTTCTCATTTTATCCACCTCGGAAGGATGGAAGGCTGAGTCAACCTTGAGTTGGTCAGGATTGAACTCCTGGCAGTGGGCAGAATTATCCTGCAATATTGCATTCTAACCAGTGGGAAGGAAGGGAGGGAGGGAGGGAGGGAGGAAGATAGCAATAGCACTTAGACTTATATACCGCTTTGCAGTGCTTGTACAGCCCTCTCTAAGCAGTTTACAGAGTCAGCCTATTGCCCCCAAACAATCTGGCTCCTCATTTTACTGACCTCGGAAGGATGGAAGGCTGAGTCAACCTTGAGCCAGTCGGTCAGGATCGAACTCCTGGCAGTGGGCAGAGTTAGCCTACAATACTGCATTCTAACCACTAGGAGGGAGGGAAGGAAGGAAAATAGCATTTACATACCGCTTCACAGTGCTTTACAGCCCTCTCTAAGCGGTTTACAGAGCCAGCCTCTTGCCCCCAACAATCTGGGTCCTCATTTGACCCACCTCGGAAGGAGGGAAGGCTGAGTCAACCTTGAGCCTGGTGAGATTCGATCTGCCAAACTGCCGACAGCCGGCAGTCAGCAGAAGTAGCCTGCAGTACTGCACTCTCACCACTGCACCACCAAGGCTCTTATAACAGATATAAATTAAGCCAGGTAGCCCTTTCTATACAACTTGAGGTTATGAGCTACCGTATTTTTCGGAGTATAAGACGCACCGGTGTATAAGACGCACCAAGATTTCGAAGAGGTAAGTAATAAAAAAAAAGTTTTTGCCTTCCCTCAGCCCCCAGCACCCCCCTGCAGGCTTCAGCAGTGCTGGGCCAAGGCAACCCCCTCCCCTCCGTTTCTGCCTTGCCCCAGCCTTGTTGAAACCTGCAGAGGGCTGCTGGGGGCTGAGGGAAGGCAAAAAAGCCGCCTGTTTTTCACAAAAATGGGATGCGGGGCGGGGCTTCGGGAGGCCAAAAATGGCTGTATTCAGTGTATAAGACGCACCAACATTTCCACGCTCTTTTTTGGGGAGGGGGAAGGTGCGTCTTATACGCCGAAAAATACGGTAACAGGAATATGACTGCACAATGAGCACTCAGCTGCATTTCCAGGTAGGCCTCGACTTACAACCACATTTCTGCGGCTAAGCAAGACAGCGGTTAGGTGGGTTTTGCCCCACTTTGCAACTTTTCTTCCCACCGTCGTTAAGTGAATCACTGCAACTGTTAAGTGCAGTAACCCAGTTGTTCAGCGAATCTGGCTTCCCCATTGACTTTGCTTGTTGGAAAGTTGCCAAAGGCAATCATGTGATCCTAGGACACTGTAACCGTCATAAATGTGAACCAGTTGCCAAGCGTCTGAATTTTGATCACATGACCATGGGGGTGCTGAAACGGTCGCAAGTGTGAAAAACGATCACTTATTTCCAGCGCAGTTGTCACTTTGAACAGTCACTAAATGAACTGTTGTAAGTCGAGGACTAGCTGTATTCCAAAACCACAATGGTATAATGGCTCACCCAATTATAATCCTAAGAGACTCTTCAATATCATCTCCTTTTAATGACCCCATAATCCCTTGCGGGGCGGAGTCCGGGCAACTGAAAGGAGCAAGTGTGTTGAGTGGCCAGATGCCCTTCCTGTCGTCATTGCGGAGTTTTGTTCGGCAGATAAATTCTCATTGTGCCCGGAGAGAAATATCTAGGATCAAACTCACAGCGAGAGCGCCACCTCTAGGTCACCGCACCACTCTTTCGAGATTCTTCAATAGGTTGCTAATAAAACCGCAGTGTATACGGGGAAGAAAACAGGAGTTTTGAGCTGCTAAATCTGTATTTACTCTTTACCCCATATATGTATATCGTGGTGCTGCTTGGTTGAATACAGATAACAACTATGAAGAATCTCGAAAGAGTGGTGCGGTGACCTAGAGGTGGCGCTCTTGCTGTGAGTTCGATCCTAGATATTTCTCTCTGGGAACAATGAGAATTTATCTGCCGAACAAACCTCCGCAATGACGACAGGAAGGGCATCT